ATTCTTTTCTTTTCTTTTCTTCTTGATTGTTGATTCTACGTAATTGGGTACGAATTGATAGAAAAAGATTTAAATATACGTAACAATGCAAATAATGGATCTAATTGGTTTTGCAGTGTAAGTTGAAGGACACAGGGTTACCCGAGTTTCTATCATCGACGGCCGCAGGATGGAACGCGAGGTTCATAGTGGAAACATGGTTCTACGGTGAGCCCATAGAGGTGAGTGTAGGCCTAGCGATTGCAGCACGCCACACGGGTGGAAGACACGTGTGCATTGTCCCTGATGAACGCTCCAAGGTGGAGTACTTATACGCAATGGCCCAGATGGGGGTGCTACCGGGGCCGGAGGTGGTGGTCGGAGAGGCGGCAACGGCGGTGGCGCAGCTTGCGGGGTTGGAGTTTCTGTTGGTGGATAGTAGGCAGAGGGAGTTCGCTAGGGTTCTCACAGTGGCTAGGGTTAGTCCAAGAGGTGCTGTTTTGGTTTGCAAAAATGCACATGAGAGAAACTTTTCTGGCGTTTTCAGATGGAACTTGGTGCTTCGCCAGGATGTGCCCTTTGAAAGGTCCGTCTTCTTGCCGTTTGGGAATGGTGTGGATATTGCCTACATAGCTGCACCACCAATTCCTTCAAACTTATAAGCCACCTTCCCAGTTTGTAATGCATTCATCACTATAATAATTGCATGTGGGTGTGCCCATGCACTTTTCACTTTTCATTTGCTTGGATGAAGATACTCATGTCAACATATTCTTCAAATTTGATTTCGTATTATGATCTTAATTTGCATATAATTTCATAACTACTGATCATTTGTGAGCTATTAACTATATATCAACAATAATAAAAACTACGCATGCTTCAAAAAAAAAAAATCAATTTACATGATTTTATAAAAAACACCCATCGTATGTATGTATGACTCTTTCGGTTTTCATTAATTAGCCATCGAATACAATGTATAAGCTGATGTTGTCACATACACAAATATTCAACTCGACTAATTCTAACTTCTTCTACAATTTAGCAATTTCTTATTATGGTCACTAATATTACTATTATGGGTCACTAGAAAAAGAAGTGGGATAGTCATATATCACTCAAATGGATAAGTTGAAATTAGAAAATGATGAATTCAAGACCTTGGCTACTAGGTTGAATGAAACTCGTGAAAAGTTGGCAAAAACAACAGTCATTCAACTTGTCAGTTAAAGTCAATCAAACTTATTCTACAAAAGTTGGAGAGTTATTGGAAAAATTGAATATAATATAATGATTTGTGAAGAACAAGTTAAATACTAGAGTATGGTTTCATATTGAAACCATAGGTAACCGAAGGAAATATGCTAAGAATCCAAGGTCTAGAATCTTCCAATTTATGTGACTTACTTTCTATATCTCAAGGGTAAGAGGTAGTTCAAAAACTACTGTCTTAACCAAATGAACCATCTTATTTAATTGAAATTAGTATGACCAATGAGATAGATATTATCAAGCTTATATAACTTAGTTAATTGAACATCAAACTATAATAATAAAATCCTAACTAATTGTTATCTATGTATGATAAAAATACGAACTAAATTATATATGTTCTGCTTTTATATATATATACACATATATATTATTAATACATAAGTAAATATTTGTGTATGTGACAACATCAGCTTATACATTGTATTCGATGGCTAATTAATGAAAACCGAAAGAGCCATACATACATACGATGGGTGTTTTTATAAAATCATGTAAACCGAAAGAGCCATATATATTGTACATACTACAATAATTGCATGGGCACACCCAGATGCAATTATTGTAGTGATGAATGCATTACAAACTGGGAAGGTGGCTTATAAGTTTGAAGCAATTGGGCGTGAAGTGAGTAAGGCAATACCCCCACCATCCCAAACCGACAGGACCCCGGACCTTTCAAAGGGCACATCCTGGCGAAGCACCAAGTTCCATCTGAAAACGCCAGAAAAGTTTCTCTCATATGCATTTTTGCATACCAAAACATCACCTCTTGAACTAATTAACCCTAGCCACTGTCAGAACCCTAGCGAACTCCCTCGGCCTACTATCCACCAACAGAAACTCCAACCCCGCAAGCTGCGCCACCGCCGTCACCGCCTCTCCGACCACCACCTCCGGCCCCGGTAACACCCCCATCTGGGCCATGGCGTATAAGTACTCCACCTTGGAGCGTTCATCAGGGACAATGCACACGTGTCTTCCACCCGTGTGGCGTGCTGCAATTGCTAGGCCTACACTCGCCTCCATGGGCTCACCGTAGAACCATGTTTCCACTATGAACCTCGCGTTCCATCCTGCGGCCGTCGATGATAGAAACTCGGGTAACCCTAACTTGCACTGCAAAACCAATTAGATCCATTATTTGCATTGCTAGTATATTTAAATCTTTTTCTATCAATTCATTGTTAAAATTATAGTTATCATCAGACAATGAATAACGTAAGATACAATATTATAGTATGTACGAGTAGGATTTAGAAAGAATTGCATACCCGGAATCACGAGGGATCTATTCTTATCAATTTTGAACAACGTGAGAGAAAACTGCTCTCTTCCTGACACGAGGTGGAAAAAATAGAAGACAAAAATGTTTTTCTTCTTATGAACTGACTAATGGGACAGTTCTTTATCCTTACCAGTAGAGACCAGGGACCTCTTAACGGGTTACTGAATAGTCTAACCCATCACAGACTATTTATCAAAAGCCCAATAAGCATTATCCATTAAATTGACAATAGTATGCAATATAATTGATCTTAATATAAATATAATTTATTACTTAATGTTAATAAATAATAAATATAATTTATTAATTAATGTTAATCCATAATAATAATAATAAAAATAGAGAATAATTATATAAATAAATATAACATTCTCCCACTTGGATAACATTAATCAATAAATTAAATATACCAATTACTACACAAGCACATATATCAATTAACAATATAAGAAATATAAACATGAATCACAAAGGTAGTTTCCGATAGGGATACATACCTTATGCTTATATTTCATAAATAATGAATAATAAAAAACATAATAAATACGTGATCCCAAAAAAATGGTCCAAGCAATTTTATATGCCAAAAGAGATGTATTGAAAATGATATCATTGATAAATTTTCATCTCATGAAAAACATAATAATAAAAGTATAAATTTCAGACTCCCACTAATCCAATACATCAAAAAAACTTAACCACACCCATATGAGTTACATGATTTTGAAAAATTCCAATAGCTAAGCCTTTAGTCATTGGATCTGCTAACATATTTTCTGTAGCAATATGCTCAATTCGAGTCTGAGAATCCAAAACTTTCTCTCTAACAAATAGAAATTTTATATCAAAATGCTTTGAGCGAGTAGAACTTCTATTGTTTTGAGAGAAATGCACAGCAGCAGTATTGTCGCAATATATCACAAGTGGCCTAGAAATACTTTCAACAATATGAAAGCCAGAAATCAAATTTTTAAGCCACACAGCTTGACAAGTAGCCTCATAACAAGCGACATACTCTACTTCCATGGTAGAAGTAGCTGTAAGAGTCTGTTTAACACTCTTCCAAGAAATAGCTCCTCCTGCCATCATAAAAACAAAGCCGGAAGTAGATTTTCGATCGTCAGGGCAACCAGCAAAATCAGAATCAGAATAACCAATGACCTGAAGTTGATCAGACTTCTTATAGGTCAACATATGATCCTTAGATCCCTGCAAATATCGAAAGACCTTTTTAACGGCTTTCCAATGACCCAAACCGGGGTCACTCAAGTATCTCCCTAAAGCATTAACAACAAAAGCAATATCGGGACGAGTACAAACTTGAGCATACATCAAACTGCCAACAGCGGAAGCATATGGAACCTTTTCCATTTCAACTCTATCATTATCATTTTGAGGACATTGAGATTTAGAGAGTTTGTCACCTTTTTGAACAGGTGCAACACATGGAGAGCAAGAATGCATGTTGAACCGTTTGAGGATTTTATCAATATACCCTCTTTGAGACAATCCAAGCATGCCACGTGACCTATCACGGAAAATTTGAATGCCTATAACAACAGAGGCATCACCAAGGTCCTTCATATCAAAGTGGCTATTTAACATAAATTTTGTCTCAGTCAAAAGTTCAACACTACTACTAGCAAGAAGAATATCATCAACATATAAGACAAGAATGATGAAATGGCTCCCACTAGTCTTCAAGTAAATGCACTGATCTGCGGCATTTTCCTTGAAGCCAAAAGAAGTGACCACCTGATCAAATTTCAAATACCATTGTCTAGAAGCTTGTCTCAGTCCATAAATAGACTTCTTCAACCTACAAACCAAATGCTCCTTACCTTTTTCAACAAAGCCATCAGGTTGAATCATATAAACTTCCTCAAATAAATCTCCATTCAGAAAAGCCGTTTTGACATCCATCTGGTGAAGCTCCAAATCAAAATGAGCTACTAAAGCCATAACAACACGAAAAGCATCCTTAGTAGAGACCGGTGAGAAAGTCTCCTTATAATCAATACCTTCTCTCTGACTATAGCCTTTTGCTACAAGTCTGGCTTTATACCTCTCAACTTTACCATCTGGACTACGCTTAGTTTTGAAGACCCATTTGCACCCAACTGGTTTACAACCAACTGGTAAATCCACAAGATCCCAAACATCATTATGGGCCATAGAAGCTAACTCATCATGCATAGCATTTAACCAATCAGAAGCAAAAGAACTAGAGATAGCCTCTCTAAAAGTGGTAGGATCATCAACATTACTAAGATCAAATTCATGCTCTTGAAGATAAACTAAATAATCATCAGGTATAGAAGACCTACGTACTCTTTGAGATCTCCTCAAAGGGATCTCTTCAACAACATCATCATGTACTTGTTCATCTACTACAGGTATTGTGACATCAAAATTATTTGGAACAACTTCATTGCCATCATGAACAACAGGAATCACATTATCTATAGGAAATGAAATAGGAGGTATAGGAACCAAAACGCGATCTTCTCTGAGAGTGACCGGTCGTGGTGTAATGCTTCCATTGTCCAAATCATCCTCAAAGAATATCGCACGATCAGATTCAATAACTCGCATAGAGTGAGAAGGACAATAAAATCTACTACCACGAGAACCCACACAATAACCAATAAAAAAACCGCTGATAGTTTTAGGATCCAGCTTTTTAAGTTGAGGATTATAAGGTCTCACTTCTGCCTTACAACCCCACACATGAAAATGTCTCAAACTTGGCTTCTTCCCAGATATAAGCTCATAGGGAGTCTTTGGAACAGATTTACTAGGTACTTGATTAAGAATGTACACAGCAGTCCTTAAGGCATCTCCCCAAAGGAAATCTGGTAAAGAGGAATGGCTCAACATACATCTCACCATTTCTAAAAGCGTGCGATTCCTTCTTTCTGCAACTCCATTCTGTTGTGGAGTACCGGGCATAGTATACTGAGCTTCAATCCCACATTCATCAAGAAATCTAGCAAAAGGTCCAGGATTTCTACCAGTCTCATCATACCTGCCATAGTACTCTCC